GCATGTACAAACTTCTGAATCTTGTTTTATTCATTGAAGTTCTTGCTACTGACTAACCTTGCTTTCGTGATGGAAGGAAAACGTACTACAGGGCCTCTGGTCATACCATCTGCAACGACTCTGCTCCGAACTCCACACTGGGCTAGAGCCCGACTACCACGGTTTGTGCTTGCAACCAAGCATCCTTCTGTCGTTGCCAGAGGAACGTAGACCATTTCTCCATCCAGTAAAAGAGGACCAGCTATACCCACAGGTACTGGCATGACACCAACAATGTTTTCACAGCAGGCGCCAAGAACCTACAAACAAGAGAGAAATTCATAAAATATTTGTCATACTATTAATACTATGAGTATGGTTGATGGACCACTGGATAGAGTGCAAATTTCAGTATTATGATACATGCTTCCTCACCAAAATTTCATGAAAAATACGATTTGTGCTACAAAAATTGAATGCATTGCGCGAAAAAGGGGACAAAGCCAAAAACCTAGCTTTCAGTAAATTGCGTTTGAAAGTTTACTTTGTTTCTACAGACACGCAAGTGATGAAATCGCACAACCTAAGGTCAATTCAAAAGTAAAATATGTTCGAGTCTGAAATAGTCACAGCCTTTAAACGACAATGTGAACACAAGTTCCTGAAATTTCAAAAAATGCGAGGGGACAAACGCGTATGTCTTCTTTTTCTAGCAGTGTCTTGAATTTTTGAAAGTATCGAGTAACCATTATAAATGAATATTATAGTTTGCTGAGAAATGCAATTTGCTTGATACAGATATATGTTTTCGTTTTCTCATACGAATTTTTCTCTTGGGTAAAAAAGGGAAAAAATTTACAACAAGGATACTTGTGTCTTTTTTGAAAAATACAAAGCGACCTTAGATTTTTGCAAATTGATTCTGTAATTGACACTTGTATGATTGCGACTTACTAAGTTCAAACTGGCTGGGGATGAAATTCGACCAGCTCTTGGTCTGAAAATAATTGATCGGTGGTAAACACCCATAGGGGAACAATGAACTTACTTTGCTGTAATCATAATTTTTGTACGGTAAGTCTTGAAATAGATCTGGTCTTTTGGTTGAGAGGGCAAGGCTTT